TATGATTGTTTTAGTGAACAGTTGCTTGGGTTTCCATCCTTTAAGTTATTATTTCTTATTATTATTTTGTCATAATTGGTGGGATGTTAATGTTATAATTTTTAAGTGCTTAATATTATTTTTATTTTTATTTTAGTTGGACGACTTTGTGAACCTTGTGTGACTCTCACATTAAAACCAACATTTTCATAATCAACACCTCAGGGCATGCTAATTCAACAGTGACCAAATTACATACTCTAGCAAGGGCGGAGCCACTTGAGGATAGGGGGGCACATGCCCACCCTCAAATTATATAATCTCATTTTACACCCTGAAAGATAGTTCGAATCTCAATTTACACCCTCAAAGAGCAAAAATCTCAATTTACACCCTCAAAGATAGAAATTTGTATCAATGTGCACCCCCAAAAATAAAAAATCTCAATTTACACCCTCAAAAATAGAAATTTGTATCAATGTGCACCCCCAAAGATAAAAAATCTCAATTTGCACTCTCAAAGATAGAAATTTATATCAATGTGCACCCCAAAGATAAAAAATCTCAATTTGCACTCTCAAAGATAGAAATTTATATCAATGTGCACCTCAAAGATAAAAAATCTCAGTTTGCACTCTCAAATATAGAAATTTGTATCATTATGCACCTAAAATTAAATTGATAAATTATACCTAGATCCTCTCATGTTTGTCACTTAATCATTTGAACCTCTATACATTTAGAATATTACTCTTATATCTCATGACATTTATGNGTCACTTAATCATTTGAACCTCTTTACATTTAGAATATTACTCCTATATCTCATGACATTTATACACGTACAACATGTAACCCATTTTCATTGATATCTGTTAATATAACCGTTAAAAAATATAATTTTATCCTAATAAAAAATTATAATTTCATATTACCCTTATTTTATGGGTCCAATATACTCTAAAGTTCAAAATCAAGCTTACCATTTGAATGTCTAATAAAATGTAGATATTTATATAATGTTTTTCATATTTTCCTTTTTATAAATATCTACATTCTATTAGACATTCAAATGGTAAGCTTGATTTTGAACTTTAGAGTATATCGAATCCACAAAATAAAGGGTAATATGAAATTATAATTTTTTATTAGGATAAAATCATATTTTTTAACGATTATATTAATAGATATCAACGAAAAGTAGTTATGTTTACATATGTACAAACGTTNTATTAGGATAAAATCATATTTTTTAACGATTATATTAATAGATATCAACGAAAAGTGGTTATGTTTACATATATACAAACGTCATGAGATGTAGGGGTAATATTCTAAATGTGAAAGGGTTCAAATGATTAAGTGACAAATATGAGGGGATCTAAGTATAATTTATCAATTTAGTTTTAGGTGCACATTAATACAAATTTTTATCTTTGAGGGTGTAAATTGAGATTTTTGATCTTTGGGGGTGTACACTGATACAAATTTCTATCTTTGAGGGTGCAAATTGAGATTTTTTATCTTTGGGGGTGTACATTGATACAATTTTCTATCTTTGAGGGTGTAAATTGAGATTTTTAATCTTTGGGAGTGTAAATTAAGATTCAAACGATCTTTTGGGGTGCAAAATGAGATTAACCCAATTTTTTTTTTATATATTGCTTACGTATAGTTCAGAGTAACTCTAGTGTATGTGAAAGTTTTACGAGTGAAGTGACCCATTGCGATAGGGCACTCACTCTAACAAGGAAGGAGTTTCATCCTACCATTCCTGACATTAGGAAGAAATGGAGTAAGGGATGTCAATCTAAAAAAAACTTAAAGCAACTGGGTTACATTAGTTTGGTACATGATAACAGGAGTTTTCAAATTGTCTATGATTGTGCAGAAAATTGAGAGTTTTTAGTCAACAATACAATATTTTTAGAGTTTTCTTTTCATTTTCTTTGTGAATTCATTGTATGNGCAACTGGGTTACATTAGTTTGGTACATGATAACAGGAGTTTTCAAATTGTCTATGATTGTGCAGAAAATTGAGAGTTTTTAGTCAACAATACAATATTTTTAGAGTTTTCTTTTCATTTTCTTTGTGAATTCATTGTATGTGTGTTGTTTGCACTTATGAGGATGATTTTTTTTATGTGTTTCTCATTTACCGTTGCGTCAAGTTATGCATTATTCGATTAATTCAACCAATATATCCTGTGATTATAAACAAAATGATCTTCAATTAATTTTTTTCCACTACTTTTACTGGGGTTAATTGGGTTTTTTTTTTGTTTTGGAGGGAGGGGGACGATTAAGAGCGAAGAGGTGAGCAGGACCTAAAAAAGTGAATAGCTACTTATCAACGTAGTGTACATTTGCCACGTATAGATTAGGATCCAACCATTGTCAGTATGAGTATAATTCAAACATTAGGTCTCTACCTAGTACAGTCCTGATCGAAAAGAGTCCCAAGGGTAGATAATTGATTCTATTTGAATTAATAGTAGATAATTTATTATTTAATTAAATTGAAGAAAAAATGGACAAACATCTCAATCACCCCAAAAAAAAAAAGTACTATTATGATAAATTAAAAAAACTTGCTATATCCTTTGTTTTCCAAATTAAAATTGAGTAATAGTGTTAAAATCTAAAAACTTTATCTAATTTGTTGACCTAATGATGTGGTCTAATTGTGTTATTTAGACCGTAACTCTAACTCAGACTTATTGATCCAGACTCCATCACTTGACATATTTTTATATTAACAAGTTAGATCAGTTTTTAGGTTTCAATAGTATTAATCGTTAAAATTAGAGCAATTCTATTGTGAACTTAAAAAATAACATAATTTACTTACCTAATGATGTGACAGTGATGTGGTATAATAGTGTTATTGTGACTATAACTTTTGGACTAATTTATCGAGACTCTATCACTTGACATATCATTATATCAGTGAATTAGATCAATTTTTTAGGTTACAATATATAACATTACTCATAAAATTATATCGTTATTGACATTTTTAATTTTAATTTATTCTTTTGTTGCTAAGTGCCAATTAACACAACACCACATTTATTTAGGTTAGTGCACACACTCAAATAACTGATCGACTGTTCACTTTGACATCGCACACCTCATATTATCTCAGTATTTTTTTTTTTAAAGTACTCTTTGCAGTAAGAATCAATGTACCTAGTGCATGAACATATTATCTTTGGTATTTACACTTGATGCCTGATTCCTATTTATCTCAACCACAATCCCTCGTCAATCTGCATCACACAAAATAAAAGTGCATTAACACAACTGAAAAAAATCATTACTAGAATAAATAGCATGCATAAAAATATACATCACTGCAATTTATAAATTGTAATAACTTGAGGTATTTTTGCTTATATCTACCAAGCCTAAATTCGAGGGTTTGCTTCTATCTACCTAGTCGAGTGGCGTATTTGCACAAGGTTTGTTTTTACAAGTTTCTCCATGTCCGACCAATATTTTCAAAGTGGTGTTGTAGCATATGGAGTGATGCGGTCTCATTTCAAGACTATGTGCTTAAGTATATGTCCATAGACTAAACTAAGCATGTGTTTTGAATTGAAAATGCTTACCAAGATGAAATTGAATCGCTAGTCTCTCCATTGCGCCACCACATTGCATTACCAATTTTACCTCTGTCATATGCTGCATTATCATCCCTCACCACTTTTCAATCTATTCAAGTTTTTCCTTACTATCATGTGTGTATGACAGATATTGTGTGCGAGTGTGATAGATCTCGCGTGCACATGTGCTCTTGTGTGTGTGTGTTAATTGTGCCGATGTGCACCTATCAAACCTGATAATAGTGCTCTATGACTGTGTCTTTGCGTGACTGTGTGTGTGCGTGAGCATACTGGAACAGTTGTTTGCCTGTGGGTTCTAGTTTCTAGACGTATATTGTGTGCTTGTGTGTGTGTGTGTTGGGGGGGGGGGGTTAGGGTTAGGGCTAGAGTTAGGGTTATAGTAACTATGGGGTTTGATATTGAGAGAGAGAGAGAGAGGAGGGGGGGATACATACTTATCTTGCATAGAAACGGGAAAGAGAACATAGCGGCTTGGGGAAGAAGACAAGAACCAGAGAAGATGGAATAAGAAAAAGATAAGGGAAAAAGAGGAGGGATAAAGCGGGTATCACAATATAATTTTACCATCGATAAAAAATTATTGTCGCCAAAAAATTATTATTTTTCAGCTACGAACTAATATTACTGCGGAATAGTATCACCCGTAAATAAATCATTAAAAAAACATTATGTGATTCGCAACGACTAAGTTTGTCATAAAAAAATACGCACCTTGTAACCACATTCCGCGACAAGCATTTTTTGGCGAGGAAATGTAATGTTAGTTTTGAAATGTCCGTCTTTAGCAATAATTGGGTTTTTATAAGAATAATTGGTTTCTTGTTTGACTTGAAAAGAGGTTTCTTGTGTGTCTCTACCTTCTCCATAAATGTTGATTTCAAGAGAATGCGAAAGAATTTTCAGCTCTCTGGTCCACATTTTTTGGTTTATTTCCCCTCTCAACTCCCCCCTCTTCTCACCCCCAAATTTTTTTTTTGATTTTAGCAAGATTTCATAATATCGATGGCTTAATTTTTCGTGCTTAATTAGTCAAAAAAAAAAAAAGAAGCAGTTTAATGGAGAAATGAAGTAGCAGATAGGATTTGACCCTTCTTTGTGTTTATCTACTTAATGCCAGTTTCACATGTGCTGGCTAAGTTGTTTGAGGGGACGAATATTTAACTTAGGATAAATTACATGAATAAACCTTGAGTTTTTGTGAAATAAGACTATTCCATTCAAATTATAAAAATGACACGGAGATAACTAACTGTACATAATTATTAGTGATAGTTGTTAATGAGATGGTCGTTCTACCATTATACAACTTCAATGCTCATGGGATTGTATTTAGCAAGTTTGACATATAACTCACTGTTAGCAGTAATATTTGATATAGACTTAACTACCCATTGTGATTTATTCTGCTCAAAACATAATTAGATGACATTAGAATTTCACTGCAATCGATTATTTGAAACTGTTACATGGGGTACAATACTTGAAATATCAAGTACTATATTTATTCTTGACAAAGGATAGATACCTTTAGGAAGAAAAAGATAACACCACCTACTCCCTCTCCTTCACTTATATGGGAGATAAGTAAATGAACAGAAGCGAACAAAGTCCATTGACATCAAATGATATAGCTTAGCATCAAATAGCAATTGATTTCCGTTTTTTAGGTGCGGGTGTGGGTTCGGCTGCGGGCGCATTCAAGAAAGAATATAGCCAACCTGAGGATTTCTTTGCTGTTCGCTCTAAATCTTTGAGATAGTCTACGTAGGCAAGGCCAAATCGAACATTATAAAATGATCCCACTTCCATACAATCCATCAAAGCCCACATGAGGTAACCTTTGACGTCTATTCCCGCCCTGCATTCAAAGAAACACATAGTAACAGTCAATTAAGACAACCATATATAGTTGATTATCGTAAGGAATAAAGGAGAAAAAAAATTAGTTGGCTTACTTTATCGCTTCTGAAATTGCATAAAGATGACCAATCATATGTTCAATTCGACCATCATCCTGTATGGCACTCTCCACTAAAATGCTGTCATCTCGTTTCTCGGGATATCCTATTGGGGAAAGTGAATTCATTTTCTTAGTAGAGAATTAACAATAGTTAGGGTTTTAAAACTTAGCTATAGATGTATTGAACTAACCATTCTCAGTGACGATGATTTTGGGATTGCCATAAGTACTGCCTATATATATCAGTGCATCCCTTAACCCTTGTGGATAAATATAAATTTGATCGCTCCCTGGTGCCTAGATTGCAATTAACCAAGACCACAACTTTTTGATTAACTATAAATGTCGAGAATCAATCATATAAGTCTACTCTAAGGGACTCACAAATAAATTATCTTACCAGTGGCCCAATGAGCTCCCCCTTGCTATTCGTAGCTGGGTCAAGCACAAAGAGATCAGATAATTCTAATTTGCCAACAACACATTTTTTGTTCCAAAATAGTTTTTATCGCAAATAAGAAATTTTTTTTGGCTAAATTGTAGAAAAATAGCGTTTTTCTAATAAAACTTACCAGTGAGATTAACGCGCTGAAACTCAACTTGGCTTGTAATAGTATCATTTGGACCTAACATTGGAAGACCTTGTGCATAGTTAGTAGTATAGTAATTAACACCGATGAAATCAAATGATCCTTGAACTAAAGTTTTCTGTTCATCAGTAAATGTTGGAAGCCCATCGCCCACCAGAGCTTTCATTATGAACGGATAGTCACCATATATCAGGGGCTCCAAAAACCTAGTTTGGATAGAAAAGACATGTAATGAAAATTGAATCATTGGAGTTTAATCCTTATTTGGTATCACTATTTAAATTGCTTAAGTAAGAAAAAAATAATACAACTTGACTAACCATCCCGTCAGAAAGTCAAACGCTCTCTTAGCTGCATCTTCATCAGGTCGCCCGGGTTCATATGCCTCAAACCATTGGGTCACCAGTGGAATACTAATCTCTCCTTTTTGAGTTGCCTATGGAAAAACAATATTTGAATCTTTAAACTATACTGCATCAGGCCTAGGATACTTGCCCCCCCCCCCCCCCACAGATATATATATATAAATTAAATAATCACCTGGTAAGTCTCTCTGTACAATTTAGTAACTGAGGCATGGGCTAGTAAGATATTATGTGCGACAATGAATGGATCTGTTGTTGGCTCTGCATCTGGTTTGTTCAATTCTGTAGCGTACCCATATTGTGCAAAAATTTGTGGCTCATTGACAGTAACCCAGTACTTTACTCGATCTCCAAATGTTTGGAAACAGAGATTGGCGTAGGCTTTGAAGTCATCTCTAAGTTTTAAAATCACAATATACTCAAAAGTAAGAAAATTTAATGGAATCTGGTTATTAAGAACTTTGGTAACACTTGGGAAAGTAGTTCTTCTTTTGCTGTTTTTCTTTTTCTTTTTCTTATTATTTTTTTTCATTGATTTTTTTTTCCTTTCCCATTGCTTAATCCTTTCTTAAAATCTTATATCACACCTATTGTGCTATAGAACATATTGTTTAGTTGTAGTATCACAAAAAAAAAAAAAAGATTGTTTAAGTAATTCAAGCTAATTCTGTATAAGCGAGTAAAACACAAGATTAAATGTCAGTCAAAAATACTATCTATTGTAATCAAATGTTTGGTAAGACACTAGATTAAGAGTACTAGGATAATAGTCATTCAGACCAAATTTAGGTTTAGTTAGTTCACTTTGATTATAGTACTAATGCAACAGTACTAATTACATATTAACCAAAAACAACATCAATATAGTTTAGTTATCTATGTCTTTGTTTATTATATGGGCAAAATAGTAAATTTATAACATAGTACGGTAGAACTAGATTATAATACTACCTCTCTAGGTGGTATTAATAGAATCAAGAATACCAATAAAGGGTAATATTCATATATATACATATATTATATGTGTACGAAATAAGCATGCACATAATACTGAGTGTTATTGGGAACTAAATTTAATATAAAGTTAGATAGCTAGTTTTTTTTGTTAAGAATCCATAATCCACCTTTTAAATATAAGTGTACTCTTTATATAGACCAACTTAGTTCTAGATCATTTTTGCTAACTAAAATTGTTTTTATTTTTTAGCAAATGTATTTTTTTGATTAAATAAATTATATAGAAAAGAGGTTATCAAAAAATAAATTAGTGTAAATGTGGACAAGAAACTTACATAATCTGGCTGTCCAAGAACCCATAGTACTTTTTTTGCAGTGCCGTGGGCAAGTCGAAGTGGAAAAGCGTCACAATTGGAGTTATGCCTGCATCAAAATTTTCATTTATCATGAAAGAGAGAGAATCAAAGATGCACTCAAACAGCTCAAACTTCATAGTCCTGTTCTAGCAGCTCATTAAAAGAGCTCAAAGTAAGTGAAATGTATAATGTCTTACCATACTTGACTAGTTCATCAATGAACTTGTTGTAGAAATCAATACCCTGTTGGTTTATACCGCCAGCTATTGTTCCATCTGCATTTTTTCAACATCAAGAACACCAATCAATGGAGATATATGGCGTTTTAGCTGCGACAATTATGGTGGTGGTGTGAATTGTTGAGTCGTGTAAAGAATAACATGAAAATAAATAATACTTCTTGGAACGTAAAATTTAATCTAATTGTTGATTTAATGATGTGTGATACGCTTATTTATACTATGACTATAAATTGTTTATAGATCTTGCAATAAAAGTATATTATAATCAGTGACCAGTTATTACGAATTTTTCCTTCTTTTTTAAAGAAATTACCTCATCCATTTGATTTGAAATATTTATTATTTTACATTCTATAAATTAAAATTTACATGGATAAAAATAAAATTCGAGGTTGAAAGTAGTGCCAAATATCAGTAGTCCAAGTTTAATCACTTGACTTTATCTATAAGTTCTAAATTACTGTCCATATTGGTCCAAATATTTACTTAGACTAACATTTCCAAAAACAACCAATTATCATTTGTCACAATAGTGGTTCAAATATTTGGCCAGCAGCTATTAAGTTGTGTTCTGTTATTAATCCAAAGACTATGATGAAGTAGGTCACTAAATTGAGTAACTATATTAAATATAAAGAGTATTATTGATAATTAATTTTGTGATTTATAGGGGTAGCTAAGAACATACCAGGGAGGATCCTAGACCAAGAGAAGGATAACCTGTAAGCATCCGCTCCCATTTTCACAAGCTGTTGCACATCGTCCTGTTACACCATGCATACAAAATTATTATAGACTACTCAATACATACATCCATAACCCATTTGCAACCATTACCCATTTGCATCTCATAAGGTTGTAAACTCAGTGTTAAACTTCCTTCTAGTTTTAAAAAAGTGTTATGTTTGACATGAACTTGATCAAGTAAGAGTAGAGTTTTGGATTTCATTTACTGGGTATCGATTGTATGAGTCGACTGCAATTCCATCTGCGAGCATAAAATCCCAGGTGCTAGGTCCTCTCCCTCCTTCTGTTGCCGATGATTCCGTCTGCAACATAGTCCAAATAAATATCACATCACAATACACCCACAACACTGACCAAAATAGAACCAAAAAAAAAAACAATAAACCCACTGTTGGAATAAAAAGAAAATTTTAAAACTTCGTATTGATTTTTTATTTTCAATCTCTTTAATTTTGTACGTTTAAAATATCTATTACAACTTTTAAGTTAATTACAAGTTTTGATCATATGTTACATGAGTTTGACAATTCTAAGTTTCTAACTGTATAAAACTTTAAGCCACTTTATGGGTCTTCTGTTTTCAAGTCAGTACCGTTGTGGTGATAATTGGTGTTGACGACTGGGTTTTGAAACTAACTCATCCATTCTTTGTATAAGGGGTCTTGAGGAATAGTGTATAAGATTACTTACAATAAGCTGTGGCTATCCACCGATAGGATTTTAGTTTAATCGTATTTCTTACCTTATAAAAATTTTGCTTTCTTAAAACTAAGGGCTCAAGTTCCACTTTCCCTCCCCCACCCCAACCCAACCCCAAAAAAAGCTGTGGCTATCCTTCTATCCTCAGTCAACTAGTTTCTTTCTATTATTCAATTTGAGACCTCACATCACATTTCAACTGCTGTAGTTTTATGAGTTTCCAAAGCTTTCTACTGTTTTTCTACTCCGATTTATTGTATTTTGGACAATTCGATTCAAGTTGGGTTTACCCCTATTTTCAAGTAGACATGATCATTGAAGAGGTATTATTGCAAGCATCTAAATTAGATCTTTGAGTTGCTAGTGTCCCTTAATACCTTCATGTGGGGGAGGTCTAACTGTTGTAGGACAGTGATCACACGTCTTTAGGACCGGCCCGAACCAATCGGAGGCCCTAGGCGAAATTCTTGGATGACCAATATGAACACATAATATATATATATTACATAGAGAGAGAGAGAGAGAGAGAGAGAGTGACCTGCAAAGCAGAAGAGGCGCAGCCAAAAATGAAATCAGGAGGGAAGTCTTGTCTTGTAACGACTGTTGGGTCTGGAATAGGGGTTGGGACAACTCTTCCATTGAAAAGGCGACTAAGAATATCGGGTGTAGGGGCTGCAACACCTTTCAAACATCTGATGGTAAAAGAAGGAGACGAAGACGAACCCTTCCTTGCACTCTTCAAATGTGGGACACCCCCAATAGGGCCCGTAATGAATTGGCTTCCTCTCTGTAAGGAACACAAATGAGCCGGTGATGGACTCTTTGGTAAAACATAACTGCCAAGTGTTGCTGTGCACAATGTAGCCATGGTGAAAGAGAGAGAGAGAGAGAGAGAGAGAGATGAATGTTTTAGTGATTTACAATGGAAGTAATGATGGATGGAGGGTATTTATAGAGGGGGAGATGAGAGAAAACTTGGATTTATTAGACTTATTTCATTTTTCATATTTAAATTTTTTTTCATACTGAAGCAATGGTCAAGTTCAAGATAGGTTTGTTATGGTTTCTAAAAGTTCTGAATAACGGTAAGAGTAATGTTAGACAGACTTAAAACACAGACTTAAAATACAGACTTGATGATGTGGCTGCTGATGTGTACCAGCCATGTCATCCCAAAAAAAAAAAAAAAAAATTTTAAGATGAAATCTCAGGTTTAACGTTCCATCTTCCCTCTTCCCTCCCTGAAACCCTCCCCTTCCCTATGCCAAAACTTGCCCACAGAACAAAGAGTGCCACCGACATTTGCTTTCTTGGATTTCATTTGCATGCGTGTGGTACTGCTCAGCAGTCCAAATCAATGTCACAGTAGATATTTTTTTTTTCCATTCGATCATTTCCCTGAAAGGCTATCACAGATTCTAAAGTATGCAAAGGTATTGATGACGAAAAAGCTCATAAATATCTCATCTTTAGTATCTCTAAGCTTTTCTAACACCCTCTGTTTTTTTTTTTTTTTGTTCTGTAGGTCCACGAATTGCCACAAGAGATGCTAGGCCGATCAACTTTGGGACTGTCCATGTGGTTGCTCAACTTTTGAATTTCACAACTCCGGCAATTGACATTGGCCACCAGCACATTCGTCTTTTGAGAGCTTCGATCACGCTTCTCCTCCCCTCTTTACCTCTTCGCTGGAATATATAATCGTTCGAAGCCTTGGAGTAAACAATTGTTTCGATCAAGATTTTTTTAAGTGTCCCCATCTTGGTAAGTGTCAAACAACTCATTTATCATTGCTTCAAATGAATTTGACCAGTAGCTCCAAATTTTCTACGCCATAAATCCGAATTTTTGCTATTAATGATTCGGCTTGCAGAACCTACACAACATGCAACACATGAGCTAATCAGGAAAAATTAGGCATGAATTACATGAGGCACCACACATTAAGCATTGAATTCAACACAAGAAGTCAATACACATTCAACTACAAACACCATACACGGAGTACAGGAAAGAGAGTTCCTTTTTAGTTTAGAAACACAAAGCATTAAAAAATACTCGAAATATAGATCCTGAACATAAAAAATAAAGTTTACTCATTTTTTCCTTTGTTGCTTTACTGTTACAGCATATTGCTTTTTTGTTATGAATTTCTCAAGATTAATTATGTCTATTGTTTTAGGATGTCTTAGATGTGAATTCATTGAAGAACTAATTTTCTTATAAGTTTATTACATCTTTTTACTTGTTAATATTCTATCCATTTATTTTTGTTAGTGATTTTGGAGCATAAACATGTGGTGTTCAGGCATATATTGTGGTTAAGAAATCTCTGATTAATCAAAGAGGCACTTGGTGGGGTTAATTCTTTTTTAGAATGGAAGGAGAATGTTCAAGTAGTTTGCAAATGATTGATAAAAATGTTGAGACTAAAATACAGAATGTGGTCAACGTAGATGAGCCTAAGGTTGGGATGATGTTTGAAAGTGAAAAGGAGTTGTTTGACTATTACACAGATTATGGTAAGCAATTGGGGTTCCCAGTTAAGATAAGATCATCAGCAAAAGGAGATGATGGTGAGTTGAAATATTTGACGATTTGTTGTTCCCGATCAGGAAAGTCAGAGTGCAATTCTAAAAATCCTTTCAAACCGTGTCCAAGTATTAGAACAGGTTGCAAGGCAAAGGTCCTAGCAATTTTATGTGCTGATAGAAAGTGGCGACTGAACACTGTCATGCTTGATCATAACCATGAGGTGAGTCCAAGCAAAGCTCGATTCTTTCGTTGCAATCGAGTGATGGGACCAAATGTGAAAAGGAAGCTTGAATTGAACGATAGGGCGGGGATTAGAATAAATAAAAATTTTAATTCATTTGTGGTTGAAGCAGGGGGGCATGAGAATATCTCTTTTTTAGAGAAGGATTGTAGAAACTACATTGATAAAATAAGGCGTTTACGGCTTGGGGAAGGAGATGCTTTTGCGATACAAAACTACTTCTTAAAGATGCAAGGTGAGAATGCAAACTTCTTTTATNGGGGGGCATGAGAATATCTCTTTTTTAGAGAAGGATTGTAGAAACTACATTGATAAAATAAGGCGTTTACGGCTTGGGGAAGGAGATGCTTCTGCGATACAAAATTACTTCTTAAAGATGCAAGGTGAAAATGCAAACTTCTTTTATATAATGGATTTGGATGATGAGGGTCGGTTAAGGAATGTGTTTTGGGCTGATGCAAGGAGTAGGGCTGCATATGAAGAATTTGGTGATGTTATTACATTTGATACAACATATTTGACAAATAAGTATGACATGCCCTTTGCTCCATTCGTAGGAGTTAATCATCATGGGCAGTCAACTTTGTTTGGATGTGGTTTGATCCCTAGTGAAGATACGAAAACTTTTTGTTGGTTATTTCAATCATGGCTTGCATGTATGTCTGGGCAAACTCCATGTTCTATAATAACTGACCAAGATAAGGCCATGAAGAAAGCAGTTGAGATTGTTTTCCCAAATGCTAGGCATCGATGGTGCCTATGGCACATCATGAAGAAATTACCTGAAAAGTTGAGAGGTTATAAGCAATATGAATCCATCAAATTTTTCTTGCAAAGAGCCGTTTATGATTCATTGAGTTGTATTGAATTTGAGGAAAGTTGGAATGGAATGATTGATAAGTACAAGCTACATAACAATGACTGGTTGAGTGAGCTGTACAGTGAGAGGCGTCGTTGGGTGTCAATCTTTGTGAAAGATACTTTTTGGGCGGGAATGTCTACCACACAACGAAGTGAGAGTATGAATTCATTCTTTGATGGGTATGTCAACTCTAAGACTACCTTAAAGCAATTCGTCGAACAATATGAAAATGCTTTGAAAAGTAAGGTGGAGAAGGAGAACGAGGAAGAATCTAAGTCTTTCTCTTCGCAAGTCCCTTGTGTGACCCATTATGACATGGAGAAACAAGTTCAAAAGGTTTACACCATCTCAAAATTTAAGGAGTTCCAAAGGGAATTGACAGGGAAGATGTATTGTGATTTGACTTCGGTCAAAGTGGATGGCTTGATTTCTGAATATGACGTATGTGAGGATATCATGACTGCAGAGAAAAGAAAGAGTGCAAATTTCAAGGTTTTGTTTAATGAAAAAGATTGTGAAGTGAAGTGCAATTGTCGCTTGTTTGAATTTAGAGGAATATTATGCAGGCATGCCGTGACAGTGTTAATCCGTAGAAAGATTTACTTACTTTCTGATAAATACATCGTACAAAGATGGAGGAAGGATGTGAAAAGATGTCACACAAAGATTAAAATTAGTTATGACTGTTGGAGTGCCACACCCGAAGCACAACGATTAGATAAAATGTGCAATGCTTTTAATGAGGTTGCAGACTTAGCAGTAGATTCTGAAGATAAGTGCACATTTGTGATGGATTGTATACATGATCTAAAGGAGAAATTACAGAAATACAAAGGTGGTTCTACAAGTTATGAACCAAGTCCCAATTCAATTGTCGATAGAAGCTCTGGTGGTAATGTAAATGATATATCAAAGGAGAAGAATATACTTACTCCATTGACAGTTCGAAGTAAAGGTCGTCCACCATTTAAAAGGAAGCAATCAAAAGTGGAGCAAGTTGCTAGGAAAAAGAAGGAAACGAAAAAAAAGAGGGTATCTCATGGAAATTATACCACTAAATTAAAATTATTCATATTTTTTGTAACATTTGTTATTTAATATTTAATTTATATTTTGTAGGATTCCCTCCCAACTAAAAGTGATGTCATTGGTCACATTGATGGTCAACCCACTAGTAAAGTGGTTGACGTACTTGGAACACAAGAGAACATTGTTGTGAAGGTATGACATAATCATCATTTTTGGAATTGTAATATATTTTTTTAATGTAATGGTTAATTTCATACTTGGAATTAACTGTAATGTAGGATTCAAAAACTATCCAAAGTGTTAATGTTGCCGAAAGTGATGGTCAATACTACAATTTGCCTCTTTATAATGTAAGTTGTGAAAGTTTATTTATAATTAATATATTGTAATTTTGTAGTAATCTGTTGTAATTTTGTTATCACAGAACAATTTGACCTTATTATGGGGAGTCACTCAAAGAGGTCATGACAACCAATCATATGGGATGGAAAACTATTTCATGGTTAGCAATCTGACATTAGTTTTAGAAATTCTATATCTTTTTTGTTGTTTATACTACAATGTCAATTTATGAAATTTCTTATTTTTTTTGGTTTAGAATAATCAATATCATCCTTGGAATGGTGAATATGACATGCAACATATACCTTCTTTTAGCTCAAAAGAAGTAGTAGACAATCCAGAATTATCAGTTTCGTCTTCAACATCACTATCAAATAGCAAGTAGATTTGGTAAGTTGGAAAGAATTCGATAAAAAGTCTTTCTCATTTATTCAAGAGTTGAGTTTTTATTTTTTTTCTTATGACAGGTATGTCAAGGAGGAACCATGTTGTCAAGATGTGCAAGATGAAGATTGTAGTATTTTGTGTCCTTGTGTTACCCAAAATTGAGTTGTTCTATTATTTTTGGATACTCATGATTTTACAGTAGGACTTAAGGGTTGGATTTTGCAGCAACAATTTTATTTTAAACAATTGTTCAATGAATTATTTGTTGAAATTTTTTTTGTTTCAAACATCTGATCTTTGGGAATGGTTCCTTATAATTAAAGGACAACTAACCAATTTTGCTATAATTTATGGGGACATGTGAATAGAGCAGTCTGGTTTGCTTGATTATCCGATTCAGATCAATGCTGACTCTGAATTGATGGTTGGCACGGTGATGAAAGGGCATGTAAGGTTTTTGCGAACTAGGCTG